AGGAGACGGTGTTTAGCTTTCATTAGTTTCAAGTAACAGTAATTCATGAAACGGTAGCCCAGGGTTTTCAGAGTTAAATTCATATTTTGAATGTGATTATCACCCAGGGAAAATCTTAACTACCTAGAAAAAAATGACAGAATGTAACTTATTATGAGGCCCTTTACTTAAAACCCCATTAAGTAGCAAATCAGAATTTTGTTTTAAAAAATTGAAATTTATTAGTAGACTATGTATCTCTCTGTTTTGAAAGTCTTAATTGATCTAATTCTATAAAATATAAAAATCCTAGAAAACTGGAATCACAAACATATATTTGGAAAACTCATGTTAAGATTTATGGAAGCAGAAGTCTATAGCAGTAGTTGCTACTTTGGCCTTTTTCTTTCAGTGAAAGATGTCATGTATATCTGCCCATTTATGGGAGCAGTGAGTGGAACCCTGACAGTGACGGACTTTAAGCTGTACTTCAAAAATGTAGAGAGGGTGAGTTTTTAAAAGCGTGTTTTATTTTAAAAGAAACACTTTGAAATACTAAAAGAAGAAAGTTAAAAGTCCCCTGAAATCCCGTTACCCTGAGATAACCACAGGTTGGGTTTTGAGATGTACACTTTTGCAAACAGATGTTTGTATATTGAAAAAAAGGCTGTTAAAGTAACTCTTAAACCTGGAGGGGAAATTCCATTGTTGTCTCAATGTATATTTAATAAGGAATGCTATCAATCAGACTTAAGTTTAGCTGGGGCAAAGAGGGAATGAGAAGTAAACAAACATATTGTAACCCAGCAAAGACTTAAAATTCGAAAACTGTTGACTAACGCTAATAGGCATTAATCTTAATATTTCAACCTAGGACCCGCATTTTATCCTTGATGTTCCCCTTGGAGTGATCAGCAGAGTCGAGAAGATTGGAGCACAGAGCCATGGCGACAATTCCTGTGGTATAGAGATAGTGTGCAAGGTATAATACCAACACAAGTGAAAACTAAAAGGGGGCAGTTAGCTCGGAACTTTTTCTCCCTCAGTCTTCATGATCTTTGGACAGTAGAATAATTTCTACTGCTAGTAACTCAAATGTTTTCGGGACAGTGACCTCTTCAGATCTCATGTCATCAAATTTAAACTATTGTGTAACCCTTTGAAGTAAACCTTTTCTATTGAAGTACAGTTGTCCCTTGGTATCGGTGGGGGTTTGATTCCAGGACCTCTCCCTCAGATACCAAAATCCACAATGTCCAAGTCCCTTATATAAAATGATATATAGTATTTGCATATAACCTAGGAACATTCTCCCATGTGCTTTAAATCATCTCCATATTGCTTATAATAACTAAGACAGTGTAAACACTATGTAAATAGTTGTTATACTGTATTGTTTAGGGAATTGTGACAGAAAAAAATAACCATCCTTTTAAAAAATACTTTCTATCTGCAGTTGTTTGAATCCTCCAATGTGGAACTCATGGATAGGAAGGGCCAGCTGTATTTCTAATTAACATGGATGTGTAACCTAAGTGCTGACATTATTTGTCACATCTCAGAGAAATCAAGTGAAAGGCAGAGATCAATACATTTCCCAGTTTGTTGTTTTAAGACTACTTTCAGAACAGTGCGGTTGCTCAAAGACTTCCTCAAGGGACAACAGTGGTCCCTAAATTCTGTGATTAAAAATAAGATTAAATTTCTTGGCTATGGTGGAATTTTTATATTGAGCTGGGCTTATCTGTTTATTTTGTACCCTTCCTCTAATTAAGTAGAAATGTGTGTGATAACTTTAATCATGAAGTCATGTAGGACACACTCTTAACTGATGTATTTTATTTCCAGTGACTTTACTTTGGTAATGTAGTTTACCAAAAACCCTACCTGAAGTACCAGGAAAGAGATCCTGCCTGCAGGATTGTCAAGGCCACTTCCAAATTTTAGGTTAGGATTCCTTACAATCTATTTGTTTTAATTAAGTCTCTGGGGATGGCTCCCTCTGGTTAGTCCTAAACTGTGCTCAAATCCATTTTTTGCCCCAAAGAACCCTCTACTCTCCCAGATCATGAATCTATTGGCTTACTAAACTCACTGTAAGCACTACCTGGCAACTGTCCTTCTCAGGCAGGGGTCCCATATGGAACAATGGCAAGCAGTGGGGTGACTTGATCGGTTCTGCAATTTTGAAACATATTGTGCCCTTTCTCACGACTCTTGAGTATCTTCCCGCTATCCTTAGGCTAAAGGAAAAACTTGCCTTACAATACCTCTCTGCCTGACTCACTTTCCTCTGCAGGTTTGATTCAAGCCACCCTCCCCTTATTCTGGCCATCCCAGTCACATGGGGCTTTGCTTCGGTGGTTCATACTTGCCTCATACACACACACACACCAGAATCTTTGCACGTGCTCTTTCCTTAGCTTGTAATGCTTTCTGTTTGAGCAATCTTAAATAGAAAGTCAGCTCAGTCAGCCACCAAGGTATATGTTTGTAGCCAGTGGAACTTAGAGGGAAGGCATGTCAGGAAATTATGTTGCTTAGGCGGGCGTCCTGGGGCTCTTGTACTAAGATATTTTTATGGCCGGGGTGAGCACTTGCTAACAACTGCTTTAAATGTTCTCTAACCTAGAATTACTAAGGTCATGCTCCCAGCCTTCTCAGATCATGCCTAAGAGCCTTACAGGGTGTGAGGTTTATTTTTTAACAAGTGATATACAATTCAAGAAAATACAAAAGCTGTATATAGTAAAAAAAAATCAGTCTCCCTCCACCTGCCACCCTGTTCCACTCATTACAGGCACCCACTGTTACTGATTTCTAGTGTAACTCTCCACAGACAGCCTATGCATGTGAGAATGTATGTATAGTCCTTCTTTGAAAAGGTAACTGGGGCCAGGTGCGGTGGCTCAAGCCTGTAATCCCAGCACTTTGAGAGGCCCAGGGAGGTGGGTCACCTGAGGTCAGGAGTTTGAGACCGTCCTGGCCAACATGGTAAAGCCCTGTCTCTACTAAAAATGCAAAAATTAGCTGGGCCTGGTGGCAGGTACCTGCAATCCCAGCTACTTGAGAGGCTGAGGCAGGAGAATCCCTTGAACCTGGGAGGCAGAGATTGCAGTGAGCCAAGACCGTGCCATTGCACTCCACCCTGGACAATAAGAATGAAACTCTATCTCAAAAAAAAAAGAAAGAAAGAGAGAAAGACAGAGAGAGAGAGAGAGAGAGAGAGAGAGAGAGAGAGAGAGAAAGGAAAGAAAGAAAGAAAGAAAAAGAAAGAAAGAAAAAGAAAGAGAAAGAAAACGTGAATGGTAGTATATTATATACACTGTTCTACTCCTTTTCTTTTTTCCCTTGACAATATGTCTCGGCACTCTGTTATGTCAATACATGCAGAGCTGCTGCTTGTTTTAACAGCTCTTGAGTGTTTCATCAGCTGTACTGCAGTTTATTTAATTATAAATGCTGCCTATTGATGGACATTTAGGTTATTTCCATTCTTTTGCTGTTGCAAATCATACCACAAGTATAACTTCATTTTAATTGCGATTTAATTTGTTTGTGGTCATACTTACTTTCAAATGTCATCTAATGTTAAAGAAGAGTGAGATTTTTGTGTTTAACTAACAGGAGCATAGATTTTGAAAGGTCAAGGACACTGCTCAAAACATCCTGGGAAGAGATCACACCATCAGAGCTGGCCTTGGGGGGATTATTCCTGCTGACTTGTGCTTTGGCCTTTGGCCATCAGCTTGCATTATGGGGCATTTTAAGAAACTGGTATGGAGAAACAGCATTGTATTGCTATAAGGATGTTACTGAGGGCTACAGTCTGTATGCGATAGAGAGTCCTCTCTTTGCCTATGCAGGAGTGGAATGTCTGCTGCATTACTGTTTTATGGCTGGCATGAATTCTTAACTGATTCTTTCAGCAGCTTAAAGAGTATAACTAATTTTGTGGCACAAGTTTAGCAAGAAAGTGCATAGGACTTGTGTATGAATCTTATTCTTGGTTCCATCTGATGAATTTTTACCTCACATATCCCCTTTGTTCCAGTTCCCTCACTTAATTTTCTAAAATCTCACTGGAGGTATTTTTGTTAAATTGCCTTTTGTTAGTTGGAACAAGATAAAGTATAAAATGAGAAATGAATAAAAAATGTACTTCCTTATTTATGGCACAGTATCTGGCTTATAGATGCTTGATATATGTTGAATAACTGAGTTTTGCTAATTGTTTAACAGGATATGAGAAACTTGCGGCTTGCTTATAAGCAGGAAGAACAGAGTAAACTAGGGATATTTGAAAACCTCAACAAACATGCATTTCCTCTTTCTAATGGACAGGTAAATACACCCAAGTAAACCTTTTCTGCATTTGTGGGGGTCCAAATATCTTATGTTTAATTATTCCTTTTTCCAGAGGTTATTTTTCCTCTCTTTTTTCCTCTGTTGGTGACTAATATTAGAATAAATTTGAAATTTGTCGGTTCTGGGTAATGCTTAAGAAAAGCTGCTACTTTGTTGCTTTAAAATTTGCAGATTAAAATAGGACTCTTAATACATTCAGCTCATATTAGAATGAAAATTTTTAATATTGGGTATATGATATAAAAAAGAAATAGTAACATGTGTGTTTTGTGGTTTTCATATCCAGGCACTATTTGCATTCAGCTATAAAGAAAAATTTTCAATTAATGGCTGGAAAGTTTATGATCCAGTAAAGTATATTGCTTAGCAAACTGAAAATAATACTTTGAGCATCTTTTTCTCTTCTAAAATGTTAGAAAGGATGTGGTAGAGTAGAAACTTTTTNCAGGTAAAGTATATTGCTTAGCAAACTGAAAATAATACTTTGAGCATCTTTTTCTCTTCTAAAATGTTAGAAAGGATGTGGTAGAGTAGAAACTTTTTCAAACAAGTTATATGTAGGTATAACTGCTAGCTTACAGGCTCCCCATCTCTCGATGCTCTCTTTTCCCTGTGCCAAACCTTAGACTTTGTCATTGTTTGTTCAGCCTGTTTCCAGAGGGCAAGTGGGACTCAAGGACAAGGACGGGTTTAAAAACCAAATCTGCCAGATTGTTTTTATTAGATGTTCTGGTAAAGAATTGATGAGTAAGGATCCAAAGCACTGACTGCAGTTAGATTCGAAGCATGTGCTGTGACTGTATCAGTCTGATCTGGTGTTCCCGGGTCTGGGAACTCATCAGTGCGTTATCAGCTTCAAATTATTCTATTAAGATCTTATTTTCATGACATTCGTTTCATGATATAGTCTCTACCTTATGTTTGGTATAATGTTTTACATTACTTATTTTAGATATTTGTAAGACGTATCTGTTTCTAAAGGACTTTTGGGTATATTTTCAAAAATAACTCTGAGCTCATTATTTATAGAAAATAGGACAAGAAATATATAGAAATGTGATTCTAGTGTATAATTTTCATGTTGTAGCATGGTTTAGATATTCTTATGCTTCTTTAGATTTTTAGAATGTCAAGGAAAGGGGTTTACCAAATAAATATATATAGACTTTTAAGTTACAATGAACAATAAATTATAAATGGATTTTAGTTGCAAATAAGAAATGGATGTGGTTCATGCTTAGTACTGTTTCAAAGTGTAAAGTCATGCCTTTCCCCCCTTCCTCCTTTTCCAACACCTTACAGGGCTTGCCAAATGAGAGTTGGAAAATATCCAAAATAAACAATAATTATGAGTTCTGTGATACCTACCCTGCTGTCATTGTTGTGCCAACTAGTGTAAAAGATGATGACCTTTCAAAAGTGGCAGCTTTTCGAGCAAAAGGCAGAGTTCCTGTAAGTAATAAACATGATCATTTATAGAGGAATATATATTACATTAGATCTAATATGGAAAGATTCAAGGCAAAAAAGAATCTAGTGAACAAAAATGGAAAGTAGAAAGATAAGCTTATAAGCCTGAACATACCTTTGATTCTCAACAGATACCTAATTATGTAAGCAATCTGCTGTGATTCCCCCTTGTACAATTTCGTATTGCTAAGTACAAGGGTAACTTCAGTCATACTCTCAAAAAGTAGTAGAGAATAACAAAGGAGTAGCAAGAACAAGTTAGCATGCTATTGTATTATCGGATGGCATTGCTGGTTTCACAGAATCATCCTAGAGGTGCTTCTTTCTTAAATACTGAGCAGGATGATGGCATCCTGTGTGGGTGGGCCATGATTACAGAAGTAGTAGCAGCCAGCAGGGAGTAATGGTTTGAGCCCAGAGTTTGCATCTGGTATAATCCTGAGTCATTTGGCCACTGGAGGAAAATGAGACGTGGGGTGGCAGAGTGTCAGATTTTATAAGAGCCTGTATATTCACTCTGTCCTCACCCTACCATATATGTTATTGTTGAGATACAAAGATGTTTTTTAAATTAGGAGACAAGGTAAAATTAGTCAAATTGGAACGGGGCTGGATTTTAGTAATAGTTTGATTTAGGATTTGTTTTGCTTAGAATCATAGAATTTTTGGGGTGGAAGAGGATTTTTAGAGCTATGTAGTCAAAATTGTTTCATGCTGCTGGCCACTACAATGCTGTGATTTACCTGCCCACTCTCACTTTTGAGGAAANTGCTTGAGAAGGGTACTTGATTTTTCTACCAGGTAATTAAAGCATACCTTGCTTTAGGAATTAGACTAATATTTGTTGCTCAAAAACACTAGGTGTTGTCATGGATTCATCCGGAAAGTCAAGCAACGATTACCCGTTGCAGCCAGCCACTTGTGGGTCCCAATGATAAGCGCTGCAAAGAGGATGAAAAATACTTGCAAACAATAATGGATGCTAATGCACAGTCACACAAGCTGATCATCTTTGATGCTCGACAAAACAGTGTCGCTGATACCAACAAGGTACATTCTTAATAGCATTGCCGAAACATTGGATATTTTCATGTCCTGTCTGTAAATCATTATGCAGTTAGAATAATTCGTGGAATTCCTCACCACCTGAAGTTAGAATCATTTGGAGTCCGTAGCTATTCCTCCCTGGTGTATATTCCATGGGCTGTGTTTGGTGTCTCACATGGGTTGGGATCTTGTCTGTTTCATCGCTTCTGTACAATATTCTGTCTGCTAAATCAGTTAGCAAAACCCTAGAAGGATAATTTTCGTCTAAAGGATTCGGCATTTTAATGATATGATTGTGAGGTCGTTGGAAGTCCATTTAATTTAAGAAATACAGTGGTTACTTGACTAATTCATGTCTGGTCTGAAGTTTTTTTAAAATGGAATCAGCCATGTGAAATTTGTAAATGTACAAAGTTTCCATAAATCTCATGGAGCACCTGTGTAGTGTACCTCAGGTGGCAGTGAGACATGATACAAACACCTCCATTCCCTTTACTTTCATGATATCACACCCTGAGTTTCTCTTGCTTTTCAGCCTGGCCTTCTCTGTCTCCTTCACTGATTTCTCTTCCCAGTCTTCAAATGACATTGATCCTTGAACTTGGTCTGGGGTCCTCTTTGCTCTACAGACTCCTGGGGCCAATCTCTGATGGCACAGCTTTAAACACTGTCTATATGCTGAGTTCAACTTGAGCTTGACACTGCAGTTTCTATCCTGTCCTGATCCCTTTGAAGGTTGACACTGGATTTTTGTTTTTATTTAATTAATTTTTTTTGAGACAGAGTCTCACTCTGTCGCCCAGGCCGGAGGGCAGTGGTGCTATCTTGGCTTACTGCAACCTCCGCCTCCCGGGTTCAAGCAAATCTCCTGCCTCAGCCTTCCGAGTAGCTGGGATTACAGGTGCCCACCACCATGCCCAGCTAATTTTTTGTATTTTTAGTAGAGATGGGTGTTTCACTATGTTGGCCAGGCTAGTCTCAAACTTCTGACCTTGTGATCCGCCTGCCTCAGCCTCCCAAAATGCTGGGATTGCAGGCATGAGCCACCGTGTCCGGCCGAGACTGGATTTTTGTCCCATTGTATGCTTGAAATCTCTGCTTGGTTGTTTCCCAGGCCACAAACCCTCCATGTATTCCAACTGGCCTGAGAGGCAGGATGGCAGGGGTGGTGAGACCCGTTGGCTTTGGATTCAGTTACACCTAAGTTTTCCTCCAGGTTCTGCCACTTGGTGCTCTAGAATCCTGAGTCAGTTACTTAACCTCTCTAGGCCTCAGGTTCCTCTTCTGTAAAACAGGAGATAATGCCAGTGTCTCATGTCATAGGTTGTGTGAGGATTAAAATTCAGTGAGAAGAATACGTGTAAATGACTTAGCACAGTGGCAGTGCATCCTCAGGGCACAGTACATGATGCTGATAAGCTCGCCACTTCTGTGGTCAAGGGGGCTGCCCAGGTGTCTAACCTGAGAGTGAATAGTGGTATCCGTTACTGAGATAGGGAAGGCTGGGAGAGGAACAGGGCAGGGAGGAAGATGGGAGGAGTATTAGTTTTCTGAGACTGCCACACAAATTACTACCAGCTTGGTGGCTTACAACACCAGAAATGTATTGCTTGCAATTCTGGAGGCCAATTCTGCTCCCTCTAAGGGTTCCAGGGCGAATCCGTTCCTTGCTTCTTTCAGTGTGGGGTGGCTACCCCAGCTTTCTTGGGCCTGTAGCCACATCAGTCTCATCTTTCGTCTTCACATGGCCCTCTCTCGCTCTGTGTTTCTGTGTCTCCTCCTTTCTCTTCTAAGGACACTGTGATGACGTTTAGGCTCCACCTGAAATAATCCTGAATCCGTAAACACATCTGCAAAGACCCTCTTTTCAAATAATCTTGGAATTCTTAAACACATCTGCAACTCTCTGGATCCTTAAACATCTGCAAAGAACTTCTTTTCAAATAAGGTCACATTCACCGTTGCCAGGGATTTGATGTGGATGTCTTTGGCAGGGGCCACTTTTCAGCCCACCATAGGGAGGCATCCTTAGTGAGGCTCCCTTGCTCCCCATATGTGGATCATTAGCTGTGTCAGTCATTCCAAATCTCTGCCTCCTTCCTGTCACTACCATATCCCAAGGAATTACAAAATATAAGAAAAGCCGTATCAGTGGAGGCCATCTTCAGACTAGTCAACAGGGTGAGGGCAGTTCATTGTGTTTTGTCCCATGCGTAAGAGATAGAGACAGGACACCAAATTGTATATCTAGAATAATTTTAACTATAGCAGTATATGTGTCTAGGAATATTTTCTAGGTCCATTGGTTCTTTATATATAAGATTATGCCATATGCAAATTGAGATAATGTGACTTCTTCCTTTCCAATCTGGATGCCTTTCATATCTTCTTCTTACATTGGTATTACATTGGTTGATTTTTGTATGTTGAACCACTGTAGTAGATTGAAAAATGTCTCCCAAAAGTTTATGTCCAACTGGAACCTCAGAATGTTACCTTATTTAGAAATAGGATCTTTGCAGATGTATTAATTATGATGAAGTCATCTTGGGGTAGGGTAGGCCTAAATCCAGTGCCTCATGTTCTTATAAGAAAGCCATGTAGAAACACAGGCACACACAGAAGGAAGATGGTGATGTGGCAATAGAGGCAGAGAGTTGAATGATGTAGCTAGAAGCTGAGGAATGCCAAGGACTTCCAGCAGCCACCAGAAGCTAAGAGAGAGTGACATGGAACAGATTCTTCCCTGTAACTTCCTAAAGGAACCAACTCTGCCAGCACTGGAACCAACCCAAATGCCCATCAGTGATAGACTGGACAAAGAAAATGTGGCACATATACAGCATGGAATACTATGCAGCCATAAAAAAGATGAGTTCATGTCCTTTGTAGGGACATGGATGAAGCTGGAAACCATCATTCTTAGCAGACTGACCCAAGAACAGAAAATCTAACCTCATATTCTCACTCATAGGCGGGTTTTGAACAATGAGAACACATGTACACAGAGAGGGGAGCATCACACACTAGGGTCCATTGTTGGGGGCTAGGGGAGGGACAGTGGGAGAGTACGTGGGGAGGGATAATGAGGGGAGAAATGTCAGGTATAGGTGATGGGGGGATGGAGGCAGCAAACCACCTTGCCATGAATGTACCTATGCAACAATCTTGCATGATCTGCATGTGTAACCCAGAATCTAAAGGACAATAAAAAAAAATAAGTAAATTCCAGATGATGTGATGTTTCTCTTGTTTTTCACAGACAAAGGGTGGAGGATATGAAAGTGAAAGTGTTTACCCAAACGCGGAACTCGTGTTCTTAGAGATCCACAACATTCATGTGATGCGAGAGTCGCTACGCAAATTAAAAGAGATTGTGTACCCTTCGATCGATGAGGCACGGTGGCTCTCCAATGTGGATGGAACGCATTGGCTAGAATATATAAGGGTAAAGAGATCCAGTACTTTATATGCTTTCCAGTTAAGACTTCTTTGTGCCTGTGCCATAAATACGTATATCTCCAAGTGGTTTTTCAGCATTGCAAATAAGTGCCTCTTGGCTGTGTGCATGAGCTTTCTTATTAAATAGTTTCCATGGGCAGCATCAGACTGGAGTCTTTGTGGAGGGCTTTTGTGACATAGTGAAAAGGGGAAAATGCTTGCCTTAGGTCAGGCTTTTAAGAACTTTGTGGCCCTTTAATAAAGAAACCATATTTACTCCTGTAGTTTTTCTCTAGTATAAGGTATTTTCTTTCTTTTTTTTTTTAACGTGATGTTAATATCTCCTAGTGATTCTCAGCTGATTGCATGCCATTCTTGTTTGGTTTATTGACCAGAACTTCTAAAGTTCTCCCCAGAATTATTTTACATCGTAATTGAAATTCAATGTAGCCTGGTCT